TATGAAAGACAACTTGCAAGTTGTATGAGTTAATAAAATTAATTAAAGTATACCACAGTGAGTGATATGGTGTTTGTATAAATGATAGAGCAAGAGAAAATTAATTAGTGTTGTTGTATTTAGATATCACAAACTATAAATCTGTATATATATGAACTGTGCAGTTTCTAGATGCTGTGATAAGTACAGATAGGATAGCAGTAAGTTTAGCCTTGAAAGAGTATGGCCAAAATTTAATTTGTGTTTGAAAAGAGTGCACAATATTGTTATTTTGAACTTGTATCCAACCAATCCCCATAGAGCATTGATTTGTTCCAAGTTCAATAACTGAACTATCTGTATAGAAGGAGAGTTCGAGTAGTTATGATTATGATGAGTGATAGATTGAAGAGTATCAGTTGAAACGCTAGCTTCAAAGATGTCTAGGATTTGTATAATATTAATAGAGATATTAAGAATAGATGGGATTTGAAGAGGGTGCCGAGAGGCAATAGAGTATATTAAATCAAGATAGTTAGCATTTAGGTTAACAGATTTAGTGATAGAGTAAACTCTACCAAAGAACTTAGTAGCCAAGTTAATTAGGATAAGAGTAGTGCATTTATTGGCAATGAGATTTGAGTTTAGGGGACAGTCTATACATTGCTGAGTAGTAATTAGTGGTGTTGAATATAGTTGAGTAAATTGAGACTCAATTGTACATTGCCAGTATGTAATAAAGATATATCCAGAGGAAGTAGGCTGTCTATATACTTTACCAATAATAATTTGATCGTTAAGTATTGTAATAAGCCAAGGTTTTGAGCGTAATAAGAAATGTCCAGTAGTGTAGCAATAGTAGTTTATATTAGGGAGCTATATGTGGTCATGTAATCTTCGAGAATAATAGTGACTAATGATCTTGTCTTCAAGAGTAATAAACCATAGTGGTTGTCTTTCTTTAGGGATTTTGTGTATTTTAGATGAAATGTGTTGCTAGCTAAGAAGACAAGAGTTGTCAAATAATGTAAGTTGGTCTAAATATAGAATATAGTGATAACGAAGCTGTTTTTTAAACTTTGGATATTGAATATCTGAAGATAATATAGACTCTAAAGATAAAGAATTGGTGGAAATAGTATACAAGATCTCAATTGAATTTCAATAAAGTTAGAGGCATGGTCTTACCTTTAAGATTAAAAAAAAATATATATATATATTCTATAATAAATATATATCCTATATTATTAATAAATTATTATTTTATTTACAAAATACTAAATACAATTAAATTTTTCAGGCAAATTTGTCTAGAATACAGTTTAAGAAATAATAAAAAATAGCACTATATTACATCTGATATTATTTTGATATGCTTCTGAATTGCAGGAAACTCAGAAATTGTTAGTATGCATGTAATGATATTAAATTGTCATTACATATTAAATGACCAAAACAACAAATAAGATAAGTATATTTTTACTTATTTATTTTTTTGCTTATAATATCATTTTATTAATTTTATTATTTAATTTGTTAGATATAATAAATCATTATTATATGTGTATTGACACAAATATAAGTAAGTATACATTTGTTTTTTTCTATATAATAATTAATACTATCATATATTAATTCTTACTATTTATATCAAAATAAAATAAGTATATGTTAATTTTTTTTTATATAATGACTAAAATCAATATATATTAATTCTTGTTATTTAATTTTTAGATATACAATAAATTGTTATCATATATATGTAGACAAAAAATAAAATAATTACATATTCACTTTTTTTCTATATAATAATTAAAATTAATTTATATTAATTCTTGTTATTTAATTCTTAAATATACAATAAATTGTCATCATATATATGTAGACAAAAAATAAAATAAGTATATATTCACTTTTTTTCTATATAATGACTAGCATTATTATACAGTATACCTGATCCTGTCAAAATCAGTAACCTGTTATATTTGATAAAAAATTGATCTACCATGTCTATTCCATAATTCAAACCTAATAACCTGCTATTTCTGATAAATGATACTCTAAAGATCAAAAGCTTATAAGATATCAGGTTTGTCAAATATTATAAATCAATTTGATTGGCTCAGATCGAGCTTTGTATGACCAAGTAGATATATAATAAATATAATTTAGCCAATTATATTTATTTATAATCATATAACTAGTAAACTATTGGTATCTTAAATCTGATAACCTCCCAAAACCATGCCTATTAGATTAGAGAAGATATACTGTATCTACTCTTGTTATTTAATTCTTAGATATTATATACATATAAATATAGCATTTTTATATTTAAAAAGGTAAAAATATTTTTGGGGTTTTTTTAAAATTTTTTTAAAATGAATAATACTTTTAATAATACTTCTAATAATAATACTCTCAACAACACTTCCAATACTTCTAATAATGCTTCTAACAATGATACTCCTAATAATACTTCTAATAATATATCTATTGAAAACACTTCTAATAATGCTTCTAATGCTTCTAATAATATGTCAAACGCTTCTAATAATACTTTTACTGCTTCAATTAATAACACTTCTAATAAAAACTTATCTTCTAACAACAATTTATTTTCTAACAACAATTTACCTCCTAACAACAATTTACATTCTAACAACAATTTACCTCCTATCAATACTTTACTACCTATTACTAATTTGCTTATTAACAACACTTTATCTCCTAATATCATTTTATCTTCTATTAAGCATTTTTTTTTTAAATTTAATTGGTGATAAAGTATTGATAGGAGGTAAATTGTTGTTAGAATGTAAATTGTTGTTAGGAGGTAAATTGTTGTTAGAAAATAAATTGTTGTTAGAAGATAAGTTTTTATTAGAAGTGTTATTAATTGAAGCAGTAAAAGTATTATTAGAAGCGTTTGACATATTATTAGAAGCATTAGAAGCATTATTAGAAGTGTTTTCAATAGATATATTATTAGAAGTATTATTAGGAGTATCATTGTTAGAAGCATTATTAGAAGTATTGGAAGTGTTGTTGAGAGTATTATTATTAGAAGTATTATTAAAAGTATTATTCATTTTAAAAAAATTTTAAAAAAACCCCAAAAATATTTTTACCTTTTTAAATATAAAAATGCTATATTTATATGTATATAATATCTAAGAATTAAATAACAAGAGTAGATACAGTATATCTTCTCTAATCTAATAGGCATGGTTTTGGGAGGTTATCAGATTTAAGATACCAATAGTTTACTAGTTATATGATTATAAATAAATATAATTGGCTAAATTATATTTATTATATATCTACTTGGTCATACAAAGCTCGATCTGAGCCAATCAAATTGATTTATAATATTTGACAAACCTGATATCTTATAAGCTTTTGATCTTTAGAGTATCATTTATCAGAAATAGCAGGTTATTAGGTTTGAATTATGGAATAGACATGGTAGATCAATTTTTTATCAAATATAACAGGTTACTGATTTTGACAGGATCAGGTATACTGTATAATAATGCTAGTCATTATATAGAAAAAAAGTGAATATATACTTATTTTATTTTTTGTCTACATATATATGATGACAATTTATTGTATATTTAAGAATTAAATAACAAGAATTAATATAAATTAATTTTAATTATTATATAGAAAAAAAGTGAATATGTAATTATTTTATTTTTTGTCTACATATATATGATAACAATTTATTGTATATCTAAAAATTAAATAACAAGAATTAATATATATTGATTTTAGTCATTATATAAAAAAAAATTAACATATACTTATTTTATTTTGATATAAATAGTAAGAATTAATATATGATAGTATTAATTATTATATAGAAAAAAACAAATGTATACTTACTTATATTTGTGTCAATACACATATAATAATGATTTATTATATCTAACAAATTAAATAATAAAATTAATAAAATGATATTATAAGCAAAAAAATAAATAAGTAAAAATATACTTATCTTATTTGTTGTTTTGGTCATTTAATATGTAATGACAATTTAATATCATTACATGCATACTAACAATTTCTGAGTTTCCTGCAATTCAGAAGCATATCAAAATAATATCAGATGTAATATAGTGCTATTTTTTATTATTTCTTAAACTGTATTCTAGACAAATTTGCCTGAAAAATTTAATTGTATTTAGTATTTTGTAAATAAAATAATAATTTATTAATAATATAGGATATATATTTATTATAGAATATATATATATATTTTTTTTTAATCTTAAAGGTAAGACCATGCCTCTAACTTTATTGAAATTCAATTGAGATCTTGTATACTATTTCCACCAATTCTTTATCTTTAGAGTCTATATTATCTTCAGATATTCAATATCCAAAGTTTAAAAAACAGCTTCGTTATCACTATATTCTATATTTAGACCAACTTACATTATTTGACAACTCTTGTCTTCTTAGCTAGCAACACATTTCATCTAAAATACACAAAATCCCTAAAGAAAGACAACCACTATGGTTTATTACTCTTGAAGACAAGATCATTAGTCACTATTATTCTCGAAGATTACATGACCACATATAGCTCCCTAATATAAACTACTATTGCTACACTACTGGACATTTCTTATTACGCTCAAAACCTTGGCTTATTACAATACTTAACGATCAAATTATTATTGGTAAAGTATATAGACAGCCTACTTCCTCTGGATATATCTTTATTACATACTGGCAATGTACAATTGAGTCTCAATTTACTCAACTATATTCAACACCACTAATTACTACTCAGCAATGTATAGACTGTCCCCTAAACTCAAATCTCATTGCCAATAAATGCACTACTCTTATCCTAATTAACTTGGCTACTAAGTTCTTTGGTAGAGTTTACTCTATCACTAAATCTGTTAACCTAAATGCTAACTATCTTGATTTAATATACTCTATTGCCTCTCGGCACCCTCTTCAAATCCCATCTATTCTTAATATCTCTATTAATATTATACAAATCCTAGACATCTTTGAAGCTAGCGTTTCAACTGATACTCTTCAATCTATCACTCATCATAATCATAACTACTCGAACTCTCCTTCTATACAGATAGTTCAGTTATTGAACTTGGAACAAATCAATGCTCTATGGGGATTGGTTGGATACAAGTTCAAAATAACAATATTGTGCACTCTTTTCAAACACAAATTAAATTTTGGCCATACTCTTTCAAGGCTAAACTTACTGCTATCCTATCTGTACTTATCACAGCATCTAGAAACTGCACAGTTCATATATATACAGATTTATAGTTTGTGATATCTAAATACAACAACACTAATTAATTTTCTCTTGCTCTATCATTTATACAAACACCATATCACTCACTGTGGTATACTTTAATTAATTTTATTAACTCATACAACTTGCAAGTTGTCTTTCATA